GGTTCACGTCCTATTTATCTGATAGAACCTTTTCTATCTTGTTCAATGGCTCCTCTTCCTCTACAGCCCCTCTTCTGTGTGGGGTGCCCCAGGGTTCCATTTTGGGTCCTTTGCTCTTTTCATTATACATGTTGCCACTTGGATCTATTATAAGACAACACAATGTCAACTTTCATTTTTATGCAGATGATTTGCAGATCTATTTACCATTAAGGCCAGGATCCAGTAACCCAGTGCTTTCTCTCTTTGACTGCATCTCTGCAATCAAACATTGGCTGAACAAGAACTTCCTGTTTTTAAATTACAGTAAAACAGAATGGATTTTATTTGGTGACAAAGATGCAACTGGCCTGGGAAACTTGGACATAAACTTCAGTGACTGTGTGAATAACCTTGGGGTGACCTTTGATAAGGCTTTACACTTTGACAAACATATTGCCTCTGTTGTCCGGTCGGGATTCTTTTATTTACGCCTTTTAAAAAAGGTCAAACCCTTTTTAAATTGTCGCGACCTGGAGAAAGCTGTTCATGCTTTTAGTATCCTACATTACCTTACAACCTAGCTGTTTTTGTTTCATTTTTTTAAATACCATTTTCTTTCATTTGTTCTTCTCAATTTGTATGCTTTCTTTTCAGATTGCCTATTGTTGTCTACTGTTGTCATCATTCTTTGTTAAAATCAGGTTTCTGTTATAAATGAGTTCCCGAGGCACACTGAGATTAACCTGTAGAAATAAAAGTTGAATGACCTAGTTACTAGATTAGGTAGGTAGTTCTAGGTCTAGCTCTAGGTAGTTAGATTGATTAGATTGACAGAATAACCGCTTGCTGCCCATCATGTACAGACATGTATATCTGTACATGATGGGCAGCACACAGATCAAACAGACGGAACCAGTCCAGTCTCTGGACTCCTGTTCTCCTTGAGCTGAACTCTAATCAGGCAGAAGAACTGAAAACGTGTGTGTGTGTGTGTGTGTGTGTGTGTGTGTGTGTTGCCATCTGTCAGGTAGAAACTCACCTGCTTGTTTCTACAAACAGCAGATTTTGTTGCTAGGAGATCTTAAGCCCCTTGCCCCCCCCCCCCCCCCCACACACACACACACACGTTGCCTGACATTTTCCAAAACAACAGGAGGAGGACACGACCTGTTTTAATCACTGGTCAGTCTCCCCACCATCACAGACATCTACACCTCCAGATGCAGGAAGAGGGCCACCTGCATCATGAAGGACCACACTCACCCAGCACACACACTTTTTTTGCCTCGCTCCCCTCAGGCGGGACGTTGCGAAGCATTAAGTGTAGAACCACTAGACTGAGGAACAGCTTCTACCCTGAGGCTGTTAGACTCATGAATCTCTAACTAGGAGGATCTCTGTGAGGGGGAAAATAATCACTTTAATGCCACTTGATTGTTTGTGCTGCTGAGCTCATGCTGCTGATTTATTTCATGCTGCTGTGTTCATTCATTCTCATCTGCTCACACAGACTCATGTTCGTGCTGCTGTTGTTCGGCGTATTGTTTTTGTACTACTAGTGATTAGCATATTTCTTAGTTCAAGTCTTAGAGCTTATTACTGTTTTTCTTTTACATTTTATTGTTTGATGTAACTCGGACCCTGTGAACATAATTTCCTTCCACCACATGTACCACATGCGATGCGAATGACAATAAAGAATCTTGACCTTGTAACAGTCATAACTGGACCTTCAGTTAGAACCTGACCGCCTGATAAAAGCTAACATGAAAGACTGTACGAAGTCGCAGTCTGATGACATCATCTTACTATTTTCATGATCCAGAAACGTGCTGACAGGACGTGCTTTCATCAGGTCCAGAAGGATCAACCCAACCCTACCAGAACCAACCGGGTCCACCCATCTGAACACAGAGCCTGGAAATCCACCTGTTTCTGTCCCACGATTACCCAGCAGCCCCTGCAGCTCACTCAGCCTCAACATGTATTTTCAGTACTTCACACTGAAATTTAACCCAAAACACAACTTTAATGTTTACAGTTATCAATATGAACCTAAATTTAATATTTAACCTTCCTTTTTTTTAGAGCACCTATGTTAGTGTGAATGTTTACAGGTTGCAACTGAATGCATCACAATTCTATTTGTGGTTAAAAAAAAAAAGTCTTTACAAGGCCTTCCCGAAGGCTCAGAGCTCTTTGTTTTAGCCCAGCCCACTCCGCATCAGCATTGTGATTGGTTAATGTTCCTGTCAGTCCTTAAACTCCTCCTGCAGAGGCTCTGACTGAGCTCGTCCTTCTCTGCTGACACTGAAGTCCTGACCAATGAGAGAGAAGCTTCAGACATGTTTCTGCCTGGAGACACAAATCTAAAGAATCTGATTGGATCACTGCATTTTCATGGATTTAAAAAAATTTGCGCAACAGCAAAACAGTTTAAAGAAAATATGACAAATTATGAAAAGCTAAGAAAAACAACATTGAAAATATTTATTTTATATGAAATACATATTGAATTAAAATCTCAATAGTAATATTTCATATGTGCTGAATTCTTGGGCCTTCTCTGAAGGTGTTGAAGGCCCTGAGGGTCCCCCCTGGGTTTAAGCTTGTTCATGAGAACCAGTCCTGCTGGATCTGACGACGTTCATTAAGAGCAGCTGCATTTCGTTTTCCAAGGTTTGACTGAAACAGTTCAGTCTGACTGGGACCAGTGACCGGTGCAGCAGCGCTTTGTGCAGCTAGTCTTGTTTTTTTATAACATCAGCTGTTTGTGGCTTCTGTCCAGAACAATTCGGACTCTGAAACTCTGCTCATTGCTTTTTACAACACATGCTACTAACAAGATATAAAAACCGATCTGTCAAAAAAAAAGTACTTTTCTTTTTAGACTGGACCCAGTGAGTTGGATGTTGAACCGTTGGGTTTCATTTTCAACACACAGGCTCTGAATGGGAACCACTGCGAGGTCGTGTTATGATCTACACGCCTGATGTGCTCATGGCTTGTTGTTGTTTGTGTAAACATGTAAACAAACATTTGTAGAAAGACCATTTAGAAACAAAGTTTAAAAAGACTCGTAATCGTATGAATGTTTGTTCCTGGCGATGCTTCTTCTGTTCTGTGCTCGAAGTGTGGTCCTTTTGGGTCAGCAGACCCCGGGTCCACCCGGACCAGGTCCAATCGGGCCCTTTATGACTGTTTCTGCTGTTAGAACCCGTTTGTCAGGATGGAGGCGTGGTTCTGTTCAGCTCGGGTTCCAGCAGCTGAAGCTTGTCCTCTCTCTCTCCGCAGCTCTCCGGCGGCTGCGAGCTCACCGTGGTTCTGCAGGACTTCACCGCAGGATGCAGCACCGAGCTGTCCGTCACTGCAGGTGAAGCAGCCCCCACACTCCTCCGTCACAACTGGACCGTCCTCAGGGGGATGTGACCGTCTCTTCTTCTCTGCAGGTCAGACCGTGGAGCTGATCGAGCAGCCCAGCGAGCGGTCCAGTTGGTGTCTGGTCAGAACCACGGATCACAGTCCACCACAGGAGGGACTGGTTCCGAGCTCAGCTCTCTGCGTGTCCCACTCCAGGTCCAGTGTGGAGATGGAGTCCTTCTTCAGCTCAGGGAAAGGTAGGATGAGCAGTTTGACCCGTTTTGAGGTTCTGAGCAGGCTGAGGTGTCTTCAGAGACACACACACATAACGTCCTGTTGACAGAACCTCCAGGTTCTGATGGGCCTCCCGTTGATTGGTCCGAGTGGATCCGTGCCCCCCCCCGCTGGAGGGACGGGTCGTTACAGACGGGCTAAAGTCTCAAAAGCGTTCGAGAGCCATGAAGGCATCGACCATTTTTCAAACTGAACCAGTCAGAATATTCTGCGCATCCACATTGTCAAATACACGTGCACAGATCACCTGCTCTCTTCTACCTCCTCCATGTTCCAGTTGGCGTCAATAGGAGGAACTGGAGACCCCACAGCACACCCATGTTTCTGCCCCCCCATGTGACGTAGGTTGACTGCAGACACAGGTTCAAGAGTCGACACGGTTGCTCTGTGGCCAGTCCTGCTGCTCAGAGCAGTGTCTGACCTCAAACACACCACCTCTACTGCCTCATCAACAGGAAGTGAAGAGTGACATCTCCATGATGACATCCCTCACCTTATCCACAAAGTCCATAATGTTCTGTATGTGGTGTTCTGAGCTGCCAACTAAAGGGATGAGCCACTAAAAGAAGGTGCTGCTCATAAGACTGAGTTTGTTGCAGCTCCTCAGACTGAAGAAGCCTCTTGGTTAAAAGAAGAAATGTTTCAACCAGAAGAACCCGTCCAGAGGACCGGACTCCACCTGGTTAGATGCTCCTGGTAGTTTTGCAGAGCAACAACAGCAGCATCGTTTTGAGAAGTTTCTTTCAAACGTTCAGTTCCCACCAACACATGAAGATGTTGATGTATTTGTAAATCTCATGAGACTGTTTCTGAGACTTTATCTCCAGCAGGTTGCTTCAGGTTTCTGTGAATGATGTCAGAACTAACCTTAGTTTGGTCCCTAAACTGGACCCAGCAGGTTTTAAAGGATCTCTTGACTTCTTCTCTCTGTGGATGAAGATTATTTTCCTTACAGGATTTTCATGTTTCTTCTGCCTGTTTTGAAGACATTGCTGGTCTGCTCACTCACCAGATGTTAGGTTTCAGGTTTGAGCACAGCTGATTGGCAGAACCTGTTATCTTCTCAGCTCTGCTACCTTTCTCTGGGACTGAGATCGGGTCTTTGTGAAGACCACTCCAGAACATGGACTTTGTTGTCCTTAAAGCACTTTGGGACTAATCTGACCATCTGAGCACCCTTGTGTGTCTGAGCTTTACCTTCATGTTGTCAAACGTTGCTTCACAGAAGGATTTTCCTCGTGGTGTCATCTAATGAAGGTCCAGTCCCTCGCGTCCTGACGCTGCCCCGCCCACAGCTGGGACAGATTCTCCGCTTCCACCTCTTCAAATGTGGCGAAGCTTCAGTTCTGGATGCATCAGACCTCAGGACGTGTCTCTAAACATCTGCCTTTTGATGCTGCTTTGGGAGTCTTCATCTTCTCTGAGTGTCCTTTCAGTCTTTGTTGGACATTTCACACCAAAACAAGTTAATTGCCGAAACTCGTCTCCTTCCTGAGCAAAATGTCCTGATGGACCTCAGAACCATCTGGATTTACTGGTCGGTCTATAGTCCAGCCCTCAGCTGTGGTCATGAAGTTTGGATCAGGACTGACACAACCAGATCCTGGATCCAAGGAGCTTCCTTCGTAGGGTGGGAAGTCTCAGTCTTAGAGATAGGAGGAGGCGCTCTGTCCTCCGGGCGGAGTGAGGAGTAGAACTGCTGTTCCTCTGGATCTAAAGGAGTCAGTTGAGGAGGTTCATCTGATCAGGACACCTCCTGGACTCCTTGGAGGTTTTCTGGGCCTGTCCCGCTGAGAGGAGACCCAAAACTCAGATGCATCTCCACCTGACTGAACGCCTACCTCCACAACATGAAGCGTGCTGCGTTCAGGTACCCACTGAAACCTGTCAGACAGTGAGCAGAAGGTTTAAGGCCAGACTTGGACATCCATGATCACATGACAGAACTTCTGTTCTGGTTCCAGAGGAGCTCCTGAAGGACCAAGAGCTCAACACTGAATCTGGAGGAGCTGCTGAGTCCAGAGGACTTGAGTCAGAAATGATCCCGTTAAACTTTGACTCTGCAGACAGAAGCACGCACGCAAACAAACAAACAAACAAAAAACATCCATCGATGTGAAGAAGACGAAGGAGATGGTCATGGACTTCAGAAGGAACAAACACACCTACACCCCCCTGAACATAAGAGGACCTGCAGTGGAAGTGTTCTCCAGCTACAAGTTCTTGTGCACCTGAACAACAACCTCAGCTGGAGCAACAACACCACCAGCCTGATGAAGAAAGATCATCAGAGACTCTACTTCCTCAGACGGCTGAGGCGAGCTGGTCTGGAAGCTCAGTCCTCACCTCCTTCTACAGGTGTGCAGTGGAGAGCATCCTGTGCTCCAGCATCAACGTGTGGCATGGAGGCTGCACAGCTGCAGAAAGAAAAGCTTTGCAGAGAGTGGTGAAGGCTGCACAGAAGATGTTGGAGTCAGTCTCCCCACCATCACAGACATCTACACCTCCAGATGCAGGAAGAGGACCACCTGCATCATGAAGGACCACACTCACCCAGCACACACACTTTTTGCCCCGCTCCCCTCAGGAAGGAGGTTGAGGAGCATTAAGTGTAGAACCACTAGACTGAGGAACAGCTTCTACCCTGAGGCTGTTGCACTCATTAATCTCTAACCAGAAGAATCACTGTGAAAAATCACGTCATGTTGCTGATCAGTTTCATGTTGCTGCTGATCAGTTTCATGTTGCTGCTGATCAGTTTCATGTTGCTGCTGATCAGTTTCATGCTACTGCTGATCTGTTTCATGTTGCTGCTGATCCGTTTCATGTTGCTGCTGATCTGTTTCATGTTGCTGCTGATCTGTTTCATGTTGCTGCTGATCAGTTTCATGTTGCTGTATTCATGCGTGCTCATCTGTTCACACAGACTCATGTTCGTACTGCTGTTCAGCGTAATATTTTTCATACTATTAGTGCTTAGTGTGTATTTAGTTGTTTTCTTAGTTCATATATCTTACTGTTTTTCTTTTTCATTTTATTGTTGGATGTAACTGGGCCCTGTGAACATATTCTCATGAGATGAGAATGACGAATAAAGAACCTTGAATCATTGAATATTAGTTTGTAGAATCAGTCATCAAACGTTCCTCGTGTGTAGAAGGTTCTGGACGTGGCAGACTTGGACCTGGGATGTAGAGCAGCTGCAGAAGATATGGCTCTTTTCTCTGAAGTGTTTCTGAATAAACTGGGCCACTGCAGTAAATCTGTGTGTGGTGGTGGTGGGGGGGTCACCAGCTGCAGCGCCTGGTGTGCACGGACTGGCGGACACCGCAGTGAGGCGTTATAAAACATGGAGCAGCAGCTCTTCTCTAAATGTACTGATGAGTAAAGTTAACAGATCCTTCCAACAATGTTCAGCCAGCTCATCTGGACGGTTTCTTTTTTTTTTTTGTTGCCGAGACTTTTCGTCCTTCATCCAAAGGACTTCTTCAGTCTGAGGAGCCACAACAAACTGAGTCCCACTAACAGCTCCCTCCATAGTGGAAACGACTGTTTGCTGATGCTAAGATGTCCTCCGGGGCCCGCCCTCTCCCTGGTCAACTCCTCTGAGGTTGATGGATTTGTTCCAGGATTAATGAGCATGAACTTCGGTGGTCAGATACTTGTACTGTCAAGTATTGGAGCCGTCTACGTTTGTCCACGTTTTGTTAAGTTGCAGCGGTTTTCCAAATTGTATGAACTTGTTCTCTTTACTCAAAACTCTACACGCAGCACCTCGTTACCACAAAGTGTTAAACTGGTTTGTCCAGCACGACCTGGACGGGATGGGTCTCTGTCCCAAACGGTGTGTAACTTCCTGTCAGGCAGCAGCTCCACCCCCTCGTCGTCTCTGGCCATCAGGTGTTTCCTGCAGGTGGATCCTGACCATTCACTGATCTGCTGATCAACACATCTGCTCTGTGCCAGCTCAGTCAGGTGTGTTCGACATGAAGGGCAGTGAGACGGGTTGACTGGACTTTGGTCATTTTACCATCTCATTATTTAGATTCATGTCCTGCTTTCTCTTCTTCAGCTCATTATCTCGAGAAGGTTGGTCTGATGCAGGAAGTGGATGTTCAAAGTCTACAAAACAAGAACGTACGACCTTTAATCCTGCTGTGCGCCGTCTTATCAGACCATAATCCAGATCTAATCTGCTGAGGAAAGATGTCAGAGTCAGAGACTCTTTATGGTCATTCGCACCTCATGTGGTACATGTGGTGGAGTGAAATTATGTCCACAGGGTCCCAGTTACATCCGACAATAAAATGTATAAGAAAAACAGTGATAACATCTAAGATATGAACTAAGAAAAACATCAACTAAATATACACTAAGCACTCATGTCTGAGGAATAAAATAGTTTACAATATTCTCAAGCTGGTTTGAACACCTTCAAAATATGGCGTCCCTGCACCTGGTGGGGGGATGTTGTCAGGTTTACCTGCAGGAACATCTCATGGAGAATTAGAATGGATCCGTCCTGGCTGGGTCCTTCTTTCCATCCTACTGTTCAGGCTTTGGTTCTGACGAAGTTCTGTTTATTACAAACACTAGAAGTTGTTTTTATGTTGGCACACTCAGAACTGTGCAGAGAACTGATGGTTGGATCTTCAGGTTCTGGAGAATGACTCGTCAAAATTATTTTTGGGGTCCTCTACCAGCCGCCTGTGTTATGTGGGTTCTGTTCAACCAACCTTTATTTCTACAGGTAAATCCCATTGAGCCTCGAGGACTCATTTACAAGAGACGCCTGATTTCAACCTAAAGAAGTAGAACTGGTTCAGCATCTCAGATGTTCCTAGGACTGAGCTCTTCTGGACAGAGGTTGTTCCTAGATCTCTTGAAGCCACTCTTCCAGTTCTGGGGTCACAGCACAGAGTCCTCCATTGACCACTGGGACCACTGACACCTTCACTCTACA